TATGCTATGCAAAGATACTGATGAGTCAAGTTAGGAGCTGTCAGCTCCTTTAGTGTCCTTTGATCCATCTTTTCTTCTAGCTCCAACTCGTCAGAACTAAAATCGCTAGATGATTCTAAAGCTAAATCTTTTTGGCGACGCTCCCTAGTTTCTTTTCTTAATCGATGCGCAGTCTTCTCAATCTCGGGGTCAAAAATCAAGTTTCCTGTGCGATCAGATCTCGACACAAACTAGAAAAAAAAATCAAATTTTTTAGATAATAGATAACAATCAAAGATAAATAAACCAATTAAAATTCCCCGGAAACGGCGCCAAAATTTGACAGGCGTTTATCACACGCTGCAAAATTTAAATAAAATAAACCTACTTCTGTAATAAAAATAACGTAGTATAGATGAAGTAGGGTCGTCTCCTAAGGGAATTAAAAATATTTTATTTTCGATTGTTTGATTTATAAATATAATAAAATAGGGGATTTTGCAAGTAGGAAATAAAAATAAAATAAAAAACTAAAAACTCTACGACTAAAAGATAAATTCAATAAAAATAAGTTTCCAGTCTAAGAATGAAATTGACAACTTGGGTAGTGGATTTGATCATCGATAAATATTTAATTTTATTGGTTTCTAAGTAAATTAGTTATAGTTACCGACACGCGCCTAATAACCAACTCTTCTTTAATTTCTTGATAGTTTAGGTACGTCCGTCAACTGTTTCCCTAGTTAGACTAGAACTCTAGTGACGCCACAAAGAATTTATTAGCCTAACCGCCTTGAGAACTAGACGAGCCTAATTCAATTTAACAATTAACTATGCAAAATTGTTTAAAATTGATTCCGTGATTTCCTAATGGTGTCTGTCACTAGTTGCTACTTGAACCAAATTAAAATGCAATTACGGATGCGTAATTTAGTTTAGCAATTAATCCTTAATCCAATTAAAATACCTGGCCACAATACTCAACCAAATAAAAGATTATAACTCAAAGAAATCAGAAACCACTTAAATACATAGGAACCAAAGAAATCTCATAGACTAGAAAAGTAAACCACTCACTAATCATAGGAGGAAGAACAAAGGAAAAAGAAGCAAAGAGAAATATCACCTGAGACTGATGTTGGTAGGGGTAGAACTTGAAATCTTCTTGGAAGAATCTTTCTCCTTCTTGCCCTTGCACGGTTTCTCTCTGAGACTCTTCTGCACGGTGTTCTCCTCGGCAAGTGACATAAAGTGGCGCCTTCCCCTTCTTTCTTTCCTTTATGTTTGCCCTAATTTTGTAACAATTGGGCCTTGGACCTTTTTGTTCTCTTTTTCCACTAATTATATCAATTTTATTATTTTTCTCCTGAAAATTATAAATAATAAATATATGTCCAAATCAGGTAGAATCTAATCAAAATCAACCAAATATCGCAAATAATATAAATATTTAACGCATGCGATTATGGCTATCAATTTTCAATACGGTCTCTCATTAATCTTCCCTTTAGTTGCCAACCGATGACCTCTAGGAATTTGTATCTGGTCACCTGCTAATAAAATGTCAAAGATCTCGTCTGCTTTAGAACTGTCAAACGTTGGTTGATCCTCCTTTCTATTCCTAGGATCGGTTTAAATTTAGGGCAGACATAAGGCATTCCATTGATGACATTTGCCACCGTTCTTTGACACTCATTGTTTGATCTGTTATGTACGATTCTATTTCTATGCTAGTCATTTGTTGAATCTAGTTACGTCTAAAATTTTGGTCACTCTCCTTGAACAAAGACTCCAACCGTCCAGCCTTAGAAGCTATACTGGAAAAATCTTCATCACCGTGGGTAGTTAAAGCTTCTCGTAATCGTGCATGCATATTCCTAACCACAAGATTGGTCATCTCTCTCTCTCTTCTATCACGGTCGGGCATCTTCTTTTCATTAGATGGACCCTCTCAATAAAATGCGCGGAAGACTCTTCCAACATTTGTTTGATCTCCAACAAGTCAGTCAGAGATACTGTTGGAATAGGGTTAAAACACCTAGCATCAAAGGTTGTTTTCAACCCTTTCCATGTCTGAATTTGCCTCGGTAGTAACTTGACAAACCAAGAAAATGCCATCCTGGTCAGAGATAAACCAAATAAATGCAATTTGTCAAAGGGGTTGTTGCCAACTTCACTAGACTGAGCAGTAAAATGACTCACGTGTTTGATAGTGGATGAGTCATGTTCTCTTGAAAATGCATGAAAGTCGGGGGGTCGATAATTTCTCGGAAGAGGATGTTCATTAATGATCCTTTCCTGGAACGTTCGTTGATAAGCAGGTCGATTTACAATTTGAGGATTCCTGGTCGTTCATCTCTTTAAGGGGTTTTTCCCTATCACCCTACTGGGGGCGGAGGCACTTGGAATAGTGTTGTCCGCGTAAGATGGCCTCGCAAAATTTTTCTAAAGTCGTGAAGGTGACATCCCTGGCGGTGTACGTACGGAGTGTAGGGTGACCCTCAACAAGGCATGATCCAGCATGTTTTGCATTAAATTTTGTTAATCACGCAACATTGCATGCATAGTCGTTGTTTGTTGGTTGTTCAATTGTTGAACATGTGCTAACAATTCGGATGCTACTTGAGATATTCCCCTTGTAGTCGGAATGGTGGGTGGAGTTGTTGTAGTGGCTCTGACGGTTGTGTTGAGGCTTTGAGACTGAGAACCTGTCATGAGGTTCCTTTCAATGATTCAACAAGATCGGTGTTGTATGAAATTTTTGTTGGATGTAGGATCAGCAATTTTGTCTTACCTCCCACTGTAGTCGTCAATTTGCTGACGTGTGAAATTCAAAAATAAAAAGTAAAATTTGAAAATATATTTTGAATTTGAACGAAAAAGTGCTTGAGATCATCGACCCTTAAACACGATATGTAAAAGTGCTAAAAAAAATTTTAAACAAACAACTGGAAATATAAAATGATGATCTCCAATAAAATTTTTTTCTAGAAATCACTTGTTGATTGAAGATGTCCCACATCATCTTGTCGGAGTCTCTAATATACATACCTATCCGAACTGCTTTGAACCTCCCCTCAGTCGGTTACTGAGTTCGTGTATTGAATCGTCGTCGGTTACAAACTTTTTCTTCCTATGTTTTAACGTAGTCAGTTGTGAGCGTTGACCACCAATCTAGAAATTCCAGTCGGTTCCTTCACAACCACCCGTCAAAAAATTCCCAGTCGGACAGGCTTTCAGACAATTAACCGACCAACCAATCCGACAATCGTTTCACTTCAAAACCTCTCTGGGCCCCCATCGTTTGGCTGGACCTTTATTCAGTAAGACAAAATCTTGTCGGGCCCACCACTGGTCCATCCCCTTCTCAATTTTTGGCCAAAACCCTAAAGCCCAGATTTTGAATTTTTTGTACTCAACAATAGTGTTAAAAGAGATGTTACATTTTGTTTGATATGCTGCTTGTTTAATGAATGTCACAAACATGGTGGAGATACTACTTTTACCGAAGTTAGGTTCAAATATTGAAAGAAAAACCTTAGACAAATTTAAAGAGCATTTAGGAGATACAAAGAGTGTACATCATGGTGTTACAACTCAAGCATTACCATTAAATTATCAAAAAAATAATGTTAATTAGGTTTGTTATCTCAAAGAGGTAAGGAAATTAAGCTTGATCACCGTGTCCGACTGACAACATTGGTTAATGTAATTCGATTGATTTTGCGTCAGAGTTTTGTTTTTTGTGGACATAATGAGTCATAAACAATTTTTCTAATGGGTTTTGTCTTTTTGAAATTTTGAATTGATACTGTGAGCATAATGAGGAAGTTGAGAAAGTGATAAATTTAAATGCTCCGAAAAATAATTAGTTGTCTTCTCCTAAAATTCAAAAAGATATTATTAATTCTTGTTCTATTAAAGTAAAAAAAAAGTTATGTTTGATAAAATTTGAGATAAATTCTTTTTAATTTTGATTGATGGGGCTCAAGATAGTTCCTTAAAGAAACAAATATATACAATTTTGAGATATGTGCACAGTAATGGAGAAATGAATGAGTGATTTATTGAACTAGTACATATATTAGTGAGACACTACTTCAAATTTCTTGAAAAATATCATTGATTTTTTTTGGCAAAGAATTATTTGTCATTTTCTAACCTTAGATGTGAATATTTGGACAGGGCTTCCAAAATGTGCCCCTTATTTGGAATCCACTGACAGAAGACGCTATTTGGATTTATTGCTATGCAACACCGGAGGAGTCGATGTGCTGCTCGGGGAAGAATCGGAGCCGCCAGCTGCTGCCGGTCGTCGCTGTCCACCGGAGTAGACTCGATCCATAGAAATCCTTGGCTAGAAGAGTGAATTGAATCTCGTAGCTTGGTCAAACGAACACAAGAATAGGGATGGGTTCTTAAGACTATTTAAGACTATTTGTATTAAGGATATCTTTTGCTTGGATCTTTTATTTTCAGAATGTCTTTTTAGTCTTAAAATTATACTCTCTATTCTAAAAGAGTTGTTTTATTTTTTTATTTTCGTCCATTTAAAAATAATTATCTAATTTTCTTATTTAATAATCGTGATCCCGCTTTATAATAAAATTATTTCTATTTTTTTAAATCATCATTAATTATTACTTTAATTTACTTCTTAAAATCCTTCAAAAAAATAAAAATAAAAATATTTTAGTCTTTGAAACAAAAAAAAAAAAAATTCAATTTCGATTTAATTTAAATTTGAATTGAAATTTATTTCTGCTAATTAAATTATACTTTATTTACGATTACCAAGGAAATTCAATAAAACCCATCCATTCCCAGCATAAATTTACAAAAGTTTATTCAACCACTCATCACACGCCACAGTGAACATTCTGTTTTCGATCTGAAGGCAAATTTTGAAATAGTAGTATAAGCTTTGAAACTTTTTAAATAGTAAAAAATTAATAATTTGTTTAACATTTTAAAGAAACTATTATTGATGAAAATTAATACCAAAAAATCACCCCCAAACGGAACCTAAATTATGCACTGTCTATTTATTATAATGAACTAAAGGCATACATCACATCACACACACACACACACAGTGCGTGCCTTTGGATGACGAGCGAGTGCATACAATACACATATATATATATATATATATATTCACGATCAGGTAATGGGACGGCGGCAAAGGGGACAGGTAAATGTAAATGTAAATGTACGGTGGAGATTATGAAACCACTTATCCAAACAGGCCTTATGGAACAAGTGTTTGCACCACAGCTCACTCACTTCCTCATCGCCCTTAAACCTAGAGAGGCATACGCAGCACCACTCCGCCGCCGCCCCCTCCTGGTAGCGCGTCACCCACACTCGCCGCTCCCCATCATCGCTGCTAATGTTGTACTCCTCCTCCTTATCTCCTAATCCGCCGCCGGCCAGCAGCACCGACTGGAGCTTGTTCTTGACGAGCGCCACCGACCTCACCGTCTTCATCACCAGCATCGGTACCACTCCTTCCGCCGGACTCTCAAAATTCCACAGCCCCATATATAGACACACAATTGATTGATTAATTAATATCACAAATAAAATTCAGATTCAATTGCCAATCTATTTAATTCCAAGCCCTAGCTAGCTAGACTCGATTCAATCAAAAATATGTAATAAATGGGCAGATGGAATATGAAGTGTATTGTATTGTATTACAGCCCTTCAGGTCAGGAAGAGAGGTATCCATCCACCTGACCATCCATCCGTGTATTAATTAATGTAAGGAAGATGATTACAGTTAATATAAGATATATATGGTGAAGCTTTGGATGAATGATGGAGGAGATCGGTGGGGGCGACACGTGTAAGAATCTTAAGCGTGTGGAAGATGGGTGGGGTTGATGACGATGATGAGTGTACGGTACGCGTGGCCAATAGAGAGGCGCCTCCTACCCTGTGGGAACCTTCTGGAGCCGCGTTTCGCCTCGTCTCACCCAATTTGGACCTTATCTATAGTGTCTCATTTAAAAAATTATAATTAGTAAATAATTAATAATATATCAATAAAATAATAATTTAAATTAAAATAAAATAAATAATTAGTGTAATTAAAATTACAAAAATTTAAAATTTAAAATAAAATTAAAGTATATAAAAAAAAAGTTTTAAAAAGTGACAAAACAAGTATACATACGAAAATAGAAAGATAAACAAGGTAAGTGGGATGAAGAACTATATTCGTTACACATAAAAGTATTTATTTATTCTTTTTTAGGTTTGTTTATTTAGTATTTTGATTTGATTTTTTTCACATGATTGTTTAAAAAATCGTTTGATAATATAAATGAATGTTATTTTTTATTAAAATTAAATAAAATATATATTAAAAATCGTGTGAAAAGAAAATTTTGAAAACATAAAACTTAATTATCGATTCATATCATTCTTCTATTTTCTTAGGCAATACCTGCTTCCGAAAGGTTGATTTGGTCTTCTTCTTTTGATATCAAATGAATTCGAGGCCTTACAACCTGTCTTCGGGCAGGGCATCAAGCTCTTGGGACAAGACATGCTCCTTTTCCTCAACATCCAGCAGGGCGTGGATCCGCATCATCCGAGGGGCTATTTCGTCCCCTAAGTTGACCTTCTCCAATGGATCTTGCATTTCGAAAAATGGAGCAGCTCCTCGGATCGAATAATAAATTTCACCTTCACCTTGATCCAAAAGAGACGGCTGGGAAGAAGTCCTGCCTGCCTTCCAGGAATGTAAGCGGCATGATTTCCGGCTTGTAAGAATAGCAATCCGGATCTGTCTGCTCTTGCCTTTGGATCATGCAAAATCAGGTCATCATTCATGACGAATACATGAGTTTATGGGCCGTATGTCGGCCTCGGTTTTGAGATAAAATCTAATCACCTTGACTTTGAAGTCGCCTTCAAAATGTAAAGCTCATTCCAGGTCTTGGTCGGTGGCAATTACGTCCAAAGTGGCTTCCGATAGCTCGTCACAATCGAGTGCTCCTATCATCGGCTCATCCCCTAGGGTCTCGGTCGTTCCAAGTACTGCGTGGCCCTGAAAATTAACAATACAATCATTGTTAGTTAAAACACACTTTGGCCTCCACTCTTTCCAGGCCCAAAGCTAGTGGCGCAAGTCTATCCTTTTTAACTTCGACATTATAGTGGCAACTCTTTCCTGACTCTCGACATGCTGCCCCCTAGTCTGACCCTGCGAATTAATAAGACAATAATCATTAATTAAAACAGGCTTCAGCCTCCACTCTTTCCGGGCTCGAAGCTGATGACGGAGATCATTCCGACCAAGCTTCGGCCTTGCAGCCACAGCTCCTTCTGAGCCCTGGGCCCACTGCCCTCCGGCCTGACCTTCGTGGTCATCAGCCTGCTGCCCCCCAGCCTGGTTCTCTTGGGAAAGGCGAGCAGCCAAGCGTAGTCACTGCATCCTCCTTTTTTGAGTCCTAGTAGGAGGTCGCATCACCTGTTCCTTCTGGTTTCTTGTCCAACTCCCGTCGTCTAGAGTTTTCCCAGGATGGCGGGTCTAATGGGGTGTGATTACCACCTGATCTATGGAGGTTACTCGCCAAACCTCACCTCCCTTTTTCAAAGCTTACTTCCGCGATCGTATTCATGGGAGAAATTCTGTCCACACCGAACTTCTTCTCAAAGGTTTGATCAACCTTCCAAGCCTTTCAAACACTGGTTTTTTAGGTTTCGTCTTCATATTATTTCTTCCAGATCCTGATGCCGACCTTCCAGGCCCTGTTTAATTTATTCCGATGATTTTTATTGCTGCGGGACTAGTTCAGTATCAATCTTCATTTTAGCCTTCTCAGCCAGCCGGTGGCAGCCTTCCCTGATGATTTTCCTCTGGGATTCAGCCAGAAAAGTCTCATTCGGTTCATCCTCGGCTTCGAAAGCTTCTTCTTAGGAATGAGCAGGGTGGTTCTCGCTCTGAAAATTATGATTCTCGGTTGCTTGTGCCTTTTTTATGAACTGTTCGGCCTTCACAACTTTGGACGTTAGCTTCCGGAAGTGATGGTACTCTTGGAGGGCCAATGTCTGACGCAACTGATGCGTCATGTTGTCAATAGCTATGTTCACCACCTGGTTCTTTGGTATGCGAACTTCGCACCTACTTTCCGACCTCCTGAAGCGTTCCAAGAACTGCTCCACAGATTCGCACTGCACTGACGTAAATTTGTCAAATCTAAAACGGCCACCTCTGGAAGAGGGCTGTAAAAACGCTCGTGGAAGGCCCTCTCCATGTCTACCCACGTGTGGATGGAATTTGGAGGTAGCGAAGTGTACCACGAAAAAGCTTAACCTGTCAAAGATAATGAAAAAAGCTGCAGTTTATACCAATTATTGTTCCCGTACTCTCCTCCGTATTGAGCCATAAATTGGCTGACATGCTCGATGGTGGAGCGGGAATCTTCCCCTGAAAATAGCGTGAATTTGGGCATCCTAGCGTTACGGGGCAACGGGTGATCCAAGGGAACATACTCAAGAAAAGGCCTTTGGTAGTGTGGCTTTACCGGTAAGCGGATGAGATCACCATAAATTCTCCGAATTGCCTCATCGATGCTTGAGAATTTATAATTGGAGGCGGTGGTCGCAGTGCTTCTGCCTCCCCCCCAGGCTGTTCGGGAGTTGCCTGAACGGGCGGCAGATTGTGCACTGTAGGCTACGAGAAGGCCTGATGAACAGGTCCCCGTTGTGGGAAATAAACTCGGGAGCCTTCCGCAACCTCTCTGAAGACTGAAACCTCATGGAATAGTGGATTTGCAGGGTCTGTTTGGGCAGAAAATTCGTAATGTTGTTGTACCCCATAACCAGCAGCAAATCGACCTTCCCTAGAATCTCCCTGCCCCCCAGTGTATTGGGATGGTGTTGGGACTGGACCCCATGGTTCCCAAGTCATTCCAGAAGGCTTTGGGACCAAGGAAGGTGCTGGAATCGCTGTCTGCCCTGCCCCCCATGCATTGGAAGTCTTTTGTCCGGCTATTGAGTTTCTTCAAAGGCCTGGAGTGGGGACTAGGGTGCTGAAAGTAGTTCTAACAAATATGGGATTATTTTGCCCATGTGGTGTTGATGGGACTGACCCGAAGGTCATCCCAAATCCGTCGGTTGGAGGCGGCTCAAAGAAAGCCTGCCCTGCCGACGCTTGAGATTCTCGACCTTCTGGATGGTGATCGGAGGTCCTTCAGATCGGGAACCCCTACCTAACAGAGTAACATGTCCATACTTAAGTGTCTGAGAGGTCAGATCTGCTGCGAAGCTGGTTGTAAGGCCTGTGGGAGGCCAAATATCTAGCTGGCTGGAATCGACCTTCCGGGCCTTGCTTTATCAAGTTTCTTTCTCCATAAGCATCGTAAACTCATTCTGAATGGCGGATTTCAGAACATCGGTAATGTACCGAGATAGATCCAGGGTGGATCCGTGAATGGATGACCGAATTTCCTAACGAATCTACTCCTGAAGGACGTTGGCTAGAAGATTAATTATCTGATCCGGCCTTCCACCAACCACGAAATTCTCGTCACATGGGGCAGCTTGCGCAGGGCGCAATGACGAATCGCCGACGATTTCTTTGTTTTTAAACATCTCTGCAGTCTTCGGCGGCATCAACTATGCATGCAAAAGTCGCGAGACGTTGGTGTCCCACCAGGCGTGCCAATCTGTTGTCGTAAAAAAATCGCCACCAACGGCTTAATCGGAAAAGTCTGTCGGAATTGATTTAATCGTAGGGTTCTCTGACCTCCTCAAAAAAGGATCCGGGCTATCTCGCGATAACCGAAAAAATTAACGAAGAAAGAAAAAGGTAAAACAAGAACGAACGCTAAAAATTAAATTAGAATTAATCGATTTATTCAATATTTTTAACAATTGTGAATCAAATTTTTTTCAATTAATAAAAAAAAGTTATATGACTTCTATTGTAACAATATTAGTGGATGGTATTCAAATTCGTTATTTTGATTGAACTTTTATTGTAACATCATATCAACAAACTTTCTTCATTAATTTGATAATAAATTATTTATTTTTATATATAACAGATAAATTATTTTTCCTTCAAATTTCCTTAAAAAATGTTAGAAAGAAATATGGGGAACAAAAATTCTAAATTGATTCAAATATTTTTTAAATTTTGATTGAAATTTATTTAATTTATATCTTTAAAAAAACTCCAAAATTGTGTTTTATATTTCATATTTTTACTATTTATCTACAGTAATTTATTTTTTCATCTTAAAACACCACATTATACATTTATGTTCCATTAATATATATAGTACATTACATACAAAGAAAATTTATTAAAATGATATCAAATACCTATTTATATCAAATAATTTATCAAAATTTTGTTACTATTTCAAGATACACTAGAATACAAAAACACAAATAAATAAATAAATAAATACAACAAAGCAAATCCTAATACGTTGATTGTGCTTTTTATATATAATGTTGAAAGTTATTCACAAATATTTGAATATTGTTATTCATAACATGTTTAAAATTTATTTGTAATATGATAATGAGTATGTTTCTTTTGATGGATTTAAAAATAATTTGGATTGAATTTTGTATTAAAATAAAGTACGATAGAATATTTTTTGTGAGAGAAAAAAGTTATATTTTTTAAAAAGAATACAAATAGGGTGTGTTTGTTTGGGGATTGGATTTTAAATACACTATTCATCCCTTTTTTTTTTTCCAAAAATATCCAATCAAACACCTATGTTTTATTTTT